ATAGATGCTCAATTTGCTACCGACGCGGTTGCAAAAACTCAGTGCAGTACAACGAAACGTTTCAGGACATCTAGCCAAAGACTTCGGTCAGTCACTGGCTCTTATAGAACCGAACACAAATTCAACGCCGTGCTTGTAACAACTAATCCTAATTTTAATCGCCACTTAAAGTACATAACTGTAAGAATAGATGGAAAGATGATTCGTTTGCAACTCGATACGGCGTCCGATCTAATGATCTTATCAAAATGGCACTTGGAATAAATTGGGTTCACCAATCTGCCCTCAGGCTAATAATACAGCTAGAGATGCGTCCGTCAGTATGATCCAGTTGCTTGGCGAATTTAACTGCGAGCTGAAAATTGCAGACAATATCGATTACGGTACGGTCTTAATAGTTGTTTATGAACTCTACCATCTTTGTATTGACTGGATTGATCGTTTGGAACTTTACAACGTGTCCATCATCATCCTACCCAGATCTTGAGTATCGAAACTACTTATGGAATATATTCAGTAGGGTTTTTACAGAAACCTTTGGTTGCTGCTCGAAAGGGCGCAATAGGACCTACGCCGAGCGTGACTAGGCCATTTTAACTGGCCCAGCAAAATCAGCTTGTTGAAGGGAACACACATTCCCTAAGACATGTCATCTGACTTCACTGCTGCTGATATGTTGCTAGCCACCAAACACGATCCTCCTCAAGCACCTCTCGTCGAAGTTCCAGAGCAGGCGCATGTCATGCACGTGAAATGGCCCTGAAGCTTCCATATAATAACACCGCCGGCCCGTAGTTACAGAGCGACCCTCGCAGTATCCTTAGCCCACGTGCGATCGGTAGTGGTTGCGTGGCAGCGTAGCGTCTGTACAGCGTACCGGCGTACTGCTGATGCCATATAGTAACACCGCCCGAACAGTGGCACGGTGAAAGCGACCCTTTACCAAGACGGAGACCTCCCAACGACGCCACACGTGTTACAATTGGACAAACGCCGAGCGAGCGTTGGCCATGCGGAGGAAACTTCTCATTAGAGCCACTCGCAAACACATCTTCCCAAGCAGACAAAGCTATCGGCGTGTTCAAACTCTGTACCTTCAGAAGTGAGCACGGGAAGGGGAGAGTCCCAATCCCGGAACAGCATTTTACACTTCGACGGGGCAAAGCACATTCCGTACCTAGATCCCTCAGTCGCCAAACGTTATAGTATTTCTTGCATGCTCTGCGAGTCATCACCAAGTAGGACAGTGTCATCAGCATAATCTAAGTTTATCGCTCGCTTGCTCAGTAGTACTGCAGACCAAAATGTTGGTAACCTTCTAGTGCTCTCGATATGACGTCTTCGATCACAAAAATGCAGAGTAAAGGTAACATATTGCAGCCTTGTCGTACACCACTATTGACAGCAAAGGATGACGAAAATTTGCCATAGACTCTCCCTCTGCCGGAGATGTGGAGGTACAGTGCACGCAAGTCAATCATCCGAGTCAAATACGCCACGGATATCTAAGAAAGCAACGATGGTAAGCCTCTGGTTGGTGTGGAGGTGTTCGAGGCTTTGACTGAGCGTGAATATTTTATCCACACTCTCACGGCCAGGACGGAAGCCAACTTGTTATTCTGATTACTGTAATTCGTACTCGGAGATAGTCTACGAAGTAGAATGGATGCCGATTGCTTGGACGCAACTGAAATGAGACTAATCACCCGATAATTGGCGCATGAAGTACGAGTAATCTTCTTACAAAATTGGGACTAAAACTGTTCTACCCAATAAATAAGGCACCTTTTGCAGAACAATGTGGTTAGCTAGCTACTGATAACTGCGCCTCCATACTAGAACAGCTACGAAGGAAGTCTATCCGAGGCGGTAGCCGACTCATTTCAGGTGTGGAATCACAAGACGAACCTCTGCTTCACTGGACAGATCAAGAGTGACGACCCATGGCGGGCAGCTGGGTTCGTAGGGCATACAAGAGGATGGTGAGGGCCAATTGTACTGGGAATGAAAATGCCCGACACATCAATCCAACCGTCTCTGTAGGTTGGTAATGGACAAACTATCCGCTTCACAAATAGTCTCACTGACACCAGGCTTTCTTGGTCACTGTACCGAAAGAGCTGGAAGAGCCTATGAGTATTGCCGGAGGGCGGCAGCCTCGGTTTCCGAAGCACACTGAGACCACCAGGCTTCATGATCGCTGCGTAGGCTTCGTTCGAGCTACGGGCAGACAGAACGTCGCATTTCATTATGATTTGACCGTGCTGGGATATTTCTGAGGCAGTCAAATGGATCTAAAGAACGCGTGGAGATCCCGGCCTCCATGCGGTGCTAAGATCACTGATTAACTACTCGCAATAGGTCATGGAGCTCTTCATGAACGTCTATTGTTCATCAATGTCTTGCGGAGGGTCACAGCTGAGTGAATCGGCCAGGGAAGCTTGCTTTGCTGAACCGAGAGAGTAGATCGTTTATTTGTACCCATCTTACGGTGCTTCCTTTTTGGTTACCCTCCGAAACTCATGAAGATGTCTTACAAACAGGAGTATGAACTAAGTCAAGAAATATGGACCAGATTGATCTGCAGTCTTTTACACTACCACACCATCTGAAGCTGATTGCGATATGATCTATTTGGGACCAAGCTTTGGACACAGAAGGGGGTCGCCAAGTAGCCGAACGTCTCCTCGAATGCCGAAACTTGGTGTTCGAGAGAAATAAACAATTGTCTTCGCACAATGTGGAGTCTCCCGCTGTTCTCTTAGCGGCTCTCCTATAGCGCATAGTGACCACCGAGCTGACTTTCGTATGACAATAGACGATCGACCCGTGGGTTGACATCCCCAGCAAGGACAACCATATCGGATTTGCAAGCTCTGCCCAAGAGCTGGTGAAGTTCAGGGTAGAAGTCGTTTTTGATCGAGTCGGGACTACAGTCATTTGGAACGTAAGTGGTGACCACAAACAATTTTCTTCATTCGACACGAATTCTGTTGATTTAGCAGGACCACCGTCGGTTATTAACCCGAAATCATTCGGCTTTGCTGTTCGGCGCTACACAAACGCCAGCCAAGCCTGCCGCAGCTGCCTCTGTCACCAGATAGGCGTAGGTGAAATATGGCTCCTCGGTCGATGGGAGAGCTCAACTCAAATACAGTAATGGAGTCCTGCAAGCTTGTTTCGGAAGGACAGCAAACATCGATGACAAGTATTCCAAGATGTGCGCAAGACCAATCTGTTCTCCGATCTGTGCATGAGTGTACGTGTATTGAAGCATACCAGGCGGAACAAGGACCGAGGCCGAAGGAAGGCCATTGGATGAACTCTGTTGGTGTCGACGAAACCATTGGGATTTGAATCATGGAAACAGGAATCAGCTAGTAACGGATAACATTGGTTATTCACAAGTGAACGGGTGAGGTGTAATAAGCTGTGCAGGTAACAGGCTAACGCAGATGATCACGATATAGCAGACGAATAATCCATTATTTTGTCAGTGGGCACGATAATACCCGGTTACCCAAACCGAAGAGTGGAGTTGTCTTAGGAGACACCACCCCGAGCCTTCGTCTAACTAGCCTGCCTGCAAGTCAGTGGGGCGCATTTAAGGAATCGCACCTATTGGAAGTCCGTGACTGAATACTCAGTTCATACGTCTTTTGTTTGGTCGGTTACCAAACAGGGGCCCAATCCTCTCCATGATATGAGCAGATTTGCTGGAGTACACTGGCCATCGAGTTGAAGCAAGAGGCAGCGACTTTAGTTAGCTGCGAGTCACATCCGCCACGTCCCAGCGTTGCTAAGCAGATATTTGTTCCTTTTTATAAGGCCAAAGCCCACCACGTCCTGGAACGCTGCCGTCGAACACCACGAGGAGGTAGTTCTGCAAATCAGCCTCATGTCCTGGAATACTGCCACCCAGCCATTCGCTGGCACGAAGCAGTAACAAAAGACATATGATTCAACAGATTGAATCCTAATTCGTTCTAGGATAAATAGCGAATATGGGCGCCGAAACTCACCTCTTTATATTTCGCATGGTTTATTTTGACATGTGGCATTTGAACGTTTTTGGAGAAACTCGGAAGCACTACTGTATTAATAGATTATGCGTACTAACAGAGGAATACAATGCCCCATCAAAATGAATCAGTGAGTAGTGATTCTATTTATTGGTTTTAAACGCACATCTAGGGTTTTCTCTAGCGCGAACGCTGACTGCACGAGAGTGCAACACATCCTAGAGCACTACCACCGTGTCATTCGCTTAAGCTAACAATGCCGATCCATCCAGCTGACACCACGATTAGATTGTTCGGCAAACTAGCCAAGATGCGGAAGTGTCTGATTAGAATTCCGATTCTCATATGCTGTATGAGGTAATATTCGAGAAATGAAGGTTCACTAGATAAGTCTGACAATTCTAGGGTATTGCTTTTGTCACTGGAGCAGGTATTGAGTGTGCAGCTCCATGTTCGCTATTGTTAACATAGCCATCGGCAATCTGGATTGACTCTCCTAGCGTCTGCGGAATCTGAAGTTGCCAAATTTCGAATCACTTTTACTGAAGTTGTTTTCTTTGACTGCATTGTCACTGATGTAGACCTCTAATGTCCATCGCCGTCCCCAGCCATTTGTACACCACTTCCGACACTCGTTCTTAATACCGTGTTCAGGTTGGTTTGCTTTTGTTTTCTGCGTGCAGTTGGTCTCAATGCATTGAGGTGGAGGATAGACTGAAGATGGAATTTTTCAGCCTATGTGGAGCAGTGAGATTTGTGCACGTGTTGCAGATTTTTGATTATTTTTACACCGGAGCTGTGCAAAAGTATCAGCGGCTTCACGGGAAGACTTTTTCCACGCGGTACAGTGGAACTGTTTGCTTCTTACTATCCATGAATTCGTCAACGGTGGAACGTAAACACGAGTGTATGTTCGGTGACCCGTTCTTAATTACACCACGAGTTTACATTTTCCATTTGTTCTGCTTCCTGTTGCAGTACAACCAGCCAATACATGCGATTACTGCGGGAAATATTATAACCAACATGCTTCTCTGAAAGCTCACGTGCTCTCCGTTCACTTGAGTAAGTTCTCCCCGTAATGAGTTATTGGGCTCCGCTTTTTGTGTTTAGTTTTCAGTATTTAATTTTGATATGATTTACCCATGTGTGTGCAGTGTGAGATAACAAGTTGCCGCACATTTATTCGACGTTGTGGTATGTTTGACCGCAGTTAATACATTTGTGCCCATAAACGAAGAATAATCGACACTCGAGTTTCTACCTTTTCTGGGGATTTGACTATTTTCTTGATGCCGGTGCGATACTGCGTTTCAGGATTGTTTCCTTTCTCCATTGGATTTGACGTAACCTTCGCATTTTATGCAACAATCATTACTTTGATGTCACCTGTTCGGCAACACTTAGCTTGACTAGTTAAGCGCCAACCTTTATCCTGGTGGTGTTTTTCCATAATAATTTTTCCGCATTTTGTGCGAGACTTCATTTGAAAATTTTGCGAACCTGGTTTCCACAGTGACTGGAATTCAGCTCCTTGGTGGAGAAATTATATGTGTTATCGACTTTCGCTAAGTCACACTACGGCGTTTCTCGTTGATTGGATCGCCATCTTGTCTTCCAACCATCGTTGCTTCTGAGCATTGTTTTTTATAATGTGAGGCTCGTGTGTTCACAATCTTGATATGCATGGTCACAAAGTAGGCGGCACCAATGTGGCCGATTCCCTAATCTCTTAACAGAACCTGAATGAATTGCGTTGCTTTGGGCACTTGCTTCATATGTCCACACTTGCGTCGACGTACTCCAAGTCAAGAAGTACCTGGCAGCAGCTTCCCACCTTTAAAATCGTGTTTAATGATTGCAGTTTTCATGACTTGTTGATGGTAAAGTTAAAAAGGGAAGGTGACTGCAAGGAACATTATCTCACACTGCTGGAGACAGAAAAGGTCGGTGACGGTTTGCCATAAACCCTCACTGCCTGTACTATACGGGTAAAGCGCTCTTATCGCATTTCCACATACACAGGGCACATCTTTTCTGAGTAGACAGCCCCAGATGACATCGATCCACCGAATCGAAGGCACCTTTGATGTCGTGCAACACGACTCTAGTGGGTCGCCAAGAAATATGACATGCGAAAATGTGATCAATCCTACCGCGACTTCGATAAAACTCGTATTGCTCTTTACGAATCTGGCTACCGCGGTTGCTAATCAGTCTGAAGAACGACAGAGACATTTGAGATCAGACTGATTCCTCTATGGTTTCCGCATTTCGAAATTGTGTCCTTCTTTAAGATTTCGACTATGACGGAGTGACTACAGGCTGTTGGGGCACTTTCCTGCTCCCGCTACTTCTCCAGTAAGTCGCACAGTTCCTTGAGAGCAGGTCCCTCGAATTTGAAGGGAGCTACTCCTGCGGCCTTAAGCAATTTTTACTGTTTGACTTCAGATTCGACTTATGTGCATGAAGTCGTATCCACGGGGATGTCCTAGGGAGAAGCTGATAACTAACTTATTCAACTGCTTCCCAAAGCCTTCGTCTCAACCCTTCTAGCGTTTTGACAAGCTGTGGATCGGCTGTTCATTCTCATCGGTTAATATCTCGGTAACAGAATATTTTCTACTTCCAGCATAACACCCGAAGCTTACGAACGGTTGAGATTGTCTCCATTTCAGATACCTAGTTTGACCATTAGGCTTCGTGGTCTCTGTCCAAGCTAGCAAGCAGTTTTGTGCTGTGGCCTTTGCGTGTTATGTTGCATTTGCTTCCAGCCAGAACAAGTCTATGGCTGCTCTAAGACTCGTGGGAGTTAAGTTGCCCTCCGGCGGGTACTGTGTCGGAATTTAGTGCTCGCGAGAAATAAACGAGCATCTTCACACAGATGTAGCAACTACTAATCTGTATCATTTGCTGCACAGTGGGCCCGTACACTGCCTTCAAGGAGTCGTAGAATTCTTTTTGTTGACGGTGTTCAGCGTAGGACTCCATCTGCGCAGCTTGCATTGTCCACCATGTATTTTTCACCTGACGCAGCTCCAGCTAGCTGTCTTCGAATGTGGCGAAAAGCATTACTCTTCATGGTGTTGTTAGGGTCAACCTCGGATGCGATGAACGCTGCGTTTTTTGCTCGTACTAATGTCCCAATTGTCGAACTGTTTTCGTCGAACCAGTCGGGCCGTTTACAGTTTGTACACCCAATCGTCTCCTCTGTAGCAATGGTCACCTGTTTTTTCAAGTGGTCCCATAGGACGCTGACAGAAGCCCAGGAGTCGTCTTCGCCAAGGCGGGTTCTTATGGCATCCTCCAGTGCTTGTCTCTTTTCTGCACTCATAAGGGCGCGTACGTTGTATTTCCTCCGATTGCTATTCGCTGGAAAGTGCGACGATTTGTAGACATTTATGTAGAACTTTGTGCGCACCAGCTTGTGATCAGTCCCACATTCAGCTCCACGCATTACCCGCGTTATGCGTACTTCACGCATGTCCCGTTGACGTACGATGACGTAGTCCAGCAAGTGAGCATGACCACTACGTGGGTGGGTTTATGTAGCAATGTCCCTAGCACACAGAGCAAACTGGGTGTTCGTGAGTGTCAAGCCATGGGTAGCACACAATGAAAGCAAGCGCTCTCCGTTCCCATTGACTATCCCAATCTCGTACGGCCCGATCACCTCAGCCCACACTGTGGCATCACACCCTACACGTGCATTGAAGTCACCAAGCAGGAATAGTCGATCATTCATTGGGACAGACTTTATAACAGTGGCCAATTGCGAGTAGTACTGATCTTTCCTGTCTTCTGTATGACTCATGTGGGACTATATGTGCTAATAAATGTTGCGAACTTACCATGTCTGAGGCATATACGGAGCGACATCAACCGTGGGCTGATACCAATCGGCTCCCACGTCAACCGGCCATTTAGGCGGTCAGTGATTGCAAATCCGATGCCTTGTTCACGTGGTGCTGCTTCGGGATTTCCAATCCAGTAGAAAGTGTACCCAGCACCATCCTCTCGCAATTTACCTTGATCAGCCAGTCGAGTCTCACTCAGCGCTGCGATATCAATGTCATACTGCGCAAGTTCCATGGCGACTAATGCGGTTCGTCGCATAGGTCGATGATTAGTGTCCCGATCGTGCAGTGTGCGCACATTCCAGCATCCAACCTTGAGTGTTTGACGTGCTGGTCTGCGGCCACGTGTGGCTCTTGATCTCGATGGCGGAGATATGGTTGGATTTGCCTCGTTCGGGGGTTGGGAGGAAAAAATTGGTTCAATCGAAAAGGGGACTTGGACAGAGGAACGTGGAGTGTTATGGAACCGGGGAACAAGCAAATGATCAATGCCGGTTAAATGTCGCTTAGACAGCCTACAGTGTGTGCGAGATGAGGTGACACCGACACCAATATTGCTCGACAAACTACGTCGACGCGGGGTGCTATTATGTTGCATTGGACTGCACATACTCAGTAGCAGCACGAGAATTGTGTGTGTAGTGTTACCAAGAAATCTAGTAACTGGTCTCAAGGGCTACAAAGAAAGAGATGAGATGACACAGAATGATATATATATGTATATATATTGTGTTTTCACTTTTTTACTTTGTATACATTGTGTTTCTCATCTTCAGTTAGCATGTAATGTATGTATTTGCCGAGGGGAGTTTTGTATTGTATGCGGGATGTAGGATGGCACAAGACTCAAAGTGGGCAAAGGTGACTTATTGCATGAAATGAAGTCGCTGACTACTAAGCTGAGTGCATCTCGCTTCCCAGCTAGGAGTCCACGCGATTGAGCATATCGGTAGACTGAAGACATTGAGATTTGTCTCGCAGGCGACACCAGTGGTATGTTTGCTATTGTTTCTTTGTGAGACCGCCTGTTTAAAGTGCACTTGCTACGGGGTCACCTATGGGTGAATTATTACGCGAGCTCTTAAATGTCTCATGGAACCTTTCTCTCTGATGCCGCCTTTTTGCGCGATATTCAAGGGGTGTGTGCGACAGACCTTAAGCAGATCCCAGTGGGTCCTACAATCACTCCTTCGATCTCGACCTGATCCCCACTGCCTTGTTGGTCAGGCTACTAAGCCATTCTCCGGGTGTAGTCCCCCAAGCGAACTTCGCACGATAGCCAGCTGTTTGTGACGCGTTCTTGTTGTTGTTAAGGTGTAATCGCCTTGTCACTGAACTTCCCGTTGGTTGGTGTTTCCCGACTACTGGACTGGGGACCGAAGGACGATGAATACGTTTGGTTGAATACACTGACTGACAGGTGAAGCGCCGACCACAGTGGCGTTCGTGTTGTGAGTCTCTCCTTGTCCTTCCCCTCCCCTACATGTCTTCCTCCAACAACGATCACATACCCTATGCATAATGTGATAGCTATCATGAGGTTACATTTTTCTAGCTTTTTAGTCTATTGTTTAATCTGTCGCCTTTATTGTATTACGGCTCATTAGCTGAGGTGTGCGGTGTGTGAGATCCTCCACCTGTACCCTCCTTTTTCACCCAATAAAGAAGTAGTTGATCCAGTGGTGCAGTAAGTTAGCAAAATTGCACATTCTCAGCTTATTGAAGAGGACTGCCTTTGTTCGTTTTGTCGAACGCTGTACTGAAATCGATGAGGAGGATCACCTGGACAGAAATTACTCGGTTCAGCGCTTGCAACCATTTATGTGCAGTCAGCAGCAGTCTGGTGATACACGAGTCTGCCCAACAAGAAACCATGCTATGCAAATATCAGGAGATTTTCCGACTCCAGCTGCCTCAGTAGACTCTTATTCATGATAGTCTCGATTACTTTGGTCAAAACGGGGTCAAACGAATCGACCAGTAATCGTCCACTTTACTCGTTTCACAGCTCTTTGGAATTGGCTTTACTTCGGAGCATTTACACTCGCGTGGAGATGCACTTTTGGGAAGCGGTCTGTTGAATTGAGGACGAAACAATTTCTGACGACTTGAGAATCACCGAGTGGAACCCATCTTGATCGCCAGGCTTTTTACCCTGAAGACTGGCAGATTGAATGCGCATATCTTCCACCTCGCGATCCGGGCTTT